TCGGCGGGGGGGTGTTGGAGGTCTACCGGCCGGATCTCCTCCTTATCTCCTTCGGCGCGCACTGCGCGGTGAACCAACACGAGCAGCTCGCCCTCGTCTGCGCCGCGCGGCTCATGGCGGGGCTGCCGGACCCGCGGCGGCGGCAAACCCGCGTCGTCGTCGACTCTGGCGGGATGTTCGTGGGGAATTGTGGGGCCCACGGGCGAACCGCCCGGGTGGTCTTCGGCGAGCGGCTCAATCTCGCCCTCACCCTCCTCCAGCACGAGCTCGGGCGGGGGCGGATTTTGCTCACCGATCACATCGCGGTGAGCCTGCCGCCGAACTTCGTGGCGCCGGTGGATCACATCATCCCGCTTCGCGGCGGCACGGAGAGCGTGCAGCTTTTTCAACTCCTGAATCCGCTGCGGTGTCGGGATGGCGTGTACGTCGAGGGAGCCGTGCAGTTTCGCCACGCCTTCGCCTCGGCGATCAACGGGGATTACCCAAAGGCGATGAAGCTCGTGAAAGCCGTCGCGCCGTACGATGTGGAGGTCTGCAACGCCTTTACCAAGGCGCTACAATGTCTAATCGCGTCCAAACCGTACCGGCCGAGGTATTGTCGCTTTCAACTGCCCGCCTTCGAGCCGTTGGGGACGCTTTTGAAAAATAAAGCTGCGAAGTACACCTATCGAAAGCTCTCCCTCGATAAAATTCAGGTCCCTGCGTTGCAGGATAGCTCGCAGATCATCGGGTTCGGCTTCGAGTCGGTTTCCTCCCTGAGCACTTTTTTCAAGGATACCGGATGCCTACCGAGGATGGGCGGCGTGGGGGAGAACCCGCCGGATTCCTCCCGCAACGGCGACGACACCGACGCCCCCAGCGCGACCACGAAGGATCCCAATCCCTCCGGCAAAGTCGAGAGCGCCAACCCCTCTGCTTCGCAACCCCTCCACACCTCGCTCGATCCTTTGTTTCCAAGCAGTCCAATCACGCCAGGAGAGGGAGGGGCGTTCGACGAGGAGGTCCCTCGCACCGTCGTGGATTGCACGGGAACGACGTGGCATTTGTTGCCCGATCCGATCGACGCGGGCGCCTTCGCGGAGGTCTACAAGGCGATCTCCAACACCGGGACGATCATGGCGTTGAAGTGCATCCGGCTGATCTCCCATCACGTCCAGCTGCACGACGTCGTGCAGGAGGTGAACACCGCGTGCAAGCTGTTCAATGAGTACATCGTGAACTACACGAGTTGGGCGCACATCGGGCCGTATTTGATTATCATCATGGATTACATCGCGGGGGGATCGCTCCAGTGGGTGTTGTCGTCCTTCCCACAAGGGATGCCGCTACGGCTGGTGAAGCGCTACGCCTCGGATTCCCTCAAGGGTCTTTCCTATCTTCATAGCCACAACATCGTCCACGCGGATATCAAACCCGGGAATATCCTCATCTCCGTCGACGGCGGCTGCAAGTTGAGCGATTTTGGTTCGAGCATCAACCGACGAGGGGCGGGGCGGGGGGCGAGCCCCCTCGCCCGCGAGGATCGCCCGCCCCCTCGCCTGATGGAAAGCGAGCAGCAGCAACAGAAGGAGGAGGAGGAGGATGATGGGGTGTTTGGTCTGCGGGGAACGGCGCGTTATATGAGCCCGGAGGTCGCTCGTGGTTCGATGCCGACGGCGTACAGCGACGTCTGGTCACTCGGCGTTACTTTACACGAGATGCTCACCGGGAGGCTGCCTTGGGTGTGGGCGAAGACGACGCCGCGGCGAACCGATCGGGATGGAGGGAATCCCGAGAAACTCAAACGCGATCCGGCAACAGGGGTGCCGCGTACCCCCCCAGCCTTCTTTCTTGATCCTCAAGAACACAATATCCCTAGTTTGAGTGATTTGAACGACAACGCGGACGGCCTCCGTGGCGGCAGTGACGGGGGGGGGTTCCTTTTAAAGTCACTCCCCATCCCGACGAAGGCGCGGCGGCGTTCGAACCCGTCGGATTCCGACGAACGCCTCCTCCGGCGGTTTCTCTCCCCGACCATGACGACGACCTCCCCTCTTCCGAGCGGCGAGGTTGGCAACTCCGGGGGTGATCCCACAGCGAGGAAAGTTAGTATTAGTAGTCCGTGTGAGAAGGGAAACGACGACAAGCCTTCGTTCGTGCGGCCGCATTTCAACCCCCACGCGCTGCGCTCGAGAGCTTCGCCAGGGGATCCGTTGCGAGGGTGCTCGCCGAGGCTGCCGATTGACAGTTTAGTGGAGCTCGAGGGCGGCTCGACGTCGATTCATAGCATCTCCGACGCTCGTTTCGTGCAGGGGCTCGCCAACGGCACGATCGAGGTTCGGCTGCAGCCGGAGGATTTCCCTTCAGATGAGGCCTTTTCGTTAGTTTCCTCATGCCTTCGCGTCACTCCAAGACAGCGACCAAGCACCGCCGAGCTATTAGGTCATCCATTCTTTATTATTTAATATAGCCTCTGTGAATTTTTTTTATTTCGTTGGTTTATATATGTATATACATATATATCTACCTATCTATCTATATATATATATTTATATATATATTCTTACAGTGGGTCTTGTATGCTTGTCAAGATCTGTAGAAAACTCCTTGTAATTACCCTGTCTTTGTCAATGATTATCTAAGTCCGGGTATGGAACTGTTCTTACAAATGCAATCTTTTCTATGTGCATTAAAAAAAAGGTATGATAAAAAGTATCAACAATAATAATCCTAATACCAAGCAAAACAATCAGTTAGGGGGAAAAATGGCGATTTAAGGGACTGTTCTGTGTAGCTTTTGGGGTGTTATGTGTTCATTTATCAATAAAATATTCTTTTCCCTCAGCGAATTGTGTGCTTTCGTTTTTTATTTTTTGCATAATTAATGTATATAAATATAGGTACGTTTATTTGTTTTTTCCCTTCAAATCAGGTGTATAAATGAAGTATCTTCGCGTGCAAAATCTTCAAAAAACTCAGGGAAAAATAATAGAAATGGGGAATGCTTACTCCATTTGACTATCCATGAAGGGAAAACACTTTGTCTTGACTTGATTGCGTCCGTTTTATTAATTGGAAATATCATGCAGAAAATTTTTCACCTATTTTCTAACCTTTGCATTATTTGTTGATGCATGTATATATTTATATACATATATATTCATCATCCGTCATAGTGTTGAAAAGACACGTGGTTAACTCTCAAATCAGGGAGATAAGATACGATGTTGATGCTGGAGGGAACTTAAATTTTGCTTGCCCAAGGACAAAAAAATGCCCATTCAATCTTAGATGATTATCTGCGATTTCTTCCTTTCCATTTCCTTGGTATAGAAATCAATCACAGTAAGGGTTTTTTTCGCCCTTTCCCCCTCACCCCTTTAGTTCCCAGGTATGATCGAAAAGGGATTCAAGATACGAGGTGTTGAGGGGCGCACCAGTTATCTCAAATTCATGCATGACAAACGCCTCAAGCTGCTCACTTATCTCCTTGAGCTTCACAGCGAGGAGGGCGCGCTATGGATGAACACGATTCGTCTCAATCGCGCGTCGCTCGCGCGACGTTTCACCCCTTCCCAGGAGGCCGGATGGCAGCCTCGCTATCTTCCTTCCTTCGCCGCCTTCACCGCGGGGCTCGCGGGGCTTCTCTCCACGGCGGGGAGCGTGCAGGGGCTGCTCGATCGCGTGGAGGGGTTGCTCTCGGAGTTGAGACTGGCATTGACAGGGCGGCGAGAGGAGGAGAACGAGGGCGTTGAACGCGATGATCTCAGCTCCACGCGGCTTTTTATCGCGACGGTTTCCTCCGCCGAGGGGGGCGGGCGCGGCGGAGGGGGGCGAAGCGACGCGTCGGATTCCCCGCTAACCTTCGAGGTGAATCCAATCGCCGCGCCGGGTGCTTTCAACGGATCCCTCGCTGCGTCTTCGCTGAAAGTGGGTGAGCTCAACCCCGCCATGGGCACACTTTCGTATATCGAGATCATTCCAGAGCTTTGCTCGACGCTGATGATGTTGTATAAGAGAATATGTGACTTCTCGCTCGGCTCGGAGGAGGCCGAGCTCCGGCGGGTGATTTTGATGGATAAATGTATTCAAAAAATGGTCTTGAAGCGCCTCATGCGCGAGCTTCAGAACGTGGCGCGACACAAACTTGAGGAGGAGATGAATCAGCTGCTGTCCGGCAGCCTTTATGGAGAGCTAGACTCCTTTTATCAAGGATTTAATTCCGCCAATAACGGCCATTCCACTACGCACAAGTGAAATGTGGACGTGGGAAGCATCAATGCAGGATAACCTCATCGGGGGGGTATTTCGTTCTCCACCGGAACGTCTTCAGCGGCGAAAACGCCCATTTCATTTTAGGAGCGGGAAACGGCTGCCGTGTTCCTTTGATGAACGAAAAACCCTTCAATGCGTTCCCGCGTGCAGATAAAAGAAGAAAAAATGTGATCGCCCATTTTTTTTGTGAGTGAATATCTCTGCGGTTGAATTTCGCCGAAATGGCGCCAGCTGCTACATGCGGTTGACATCTTTGTCTAGATGATGCACTTCATGTTTTGAAGGAAATCATTTTTCATATCATATAACAATCAAAAATGCATAGTATCATTGCCCATCAGAAATGAAAAGGATGTCACTTGTTATGCTTATGAAAATAAAATACTTTAATATAATGATATATATACGGTGCTGATGGGGCACGGGTAAAAAAAGAAAAGAAGAACGCTCAGGAATCAGTGTGCCCAATTCTTTTTCTTCTACCTGTTTACACCCTACACCATTGAGAATACTTCGTATACAAGAAAATAATTCACGGATCATCTACTCCTCCAAGTGCATTTATGCATTGGGTTTGAAAAGTGATAAGAATTGTTTAAACGAATAAATTTTCAATAAAATGCCGGCGCCAGTACTCAAATCGGTTTGCGTTCCATTTTACGTGGGAGGCGGCGACCATCAGTATCCAAATTCAGCCGTGGACGATCCCCACCACGCCATCGAGAAGGGCATGCCGGAGCGGCCGGATGAGAGCGGTCCTTCCGCGTCGTCTTGCCCGTTGCGGACGTCGTCAACCACGCCCAGGGCCGATCTCCAACTGATAACCTATGCCTTTATCGAGATGATAGCGTTCAAGAAGCGTTTTTTTTGGCTTCACGTTTCCGAAAGCCCCAATCCCACGGGATTGCGCGCGTGCAAGTTCGGCGCCTGCAGCTTGGCGGTTCCTTTTTCCTCGTCGGTATCCACAACCCATCTTTTCGGGATGGAGACGGGCGCGCCGCAGGTGGAGTCGTCCAGCGATCAAACCGTTCAATCCATCTTCTCGTCGAATCTCTCGCAAAAAATCGTTCGGCGGCTGCGCAAAGACTTCCAGCTCGAGGCAGGTGTTTATGTGAGCTGTGCGATTGAGGGGGAACGCTGCATGGAGCTTTTGGGAACGGATACGGGAGGCGGTTTTCGCTCCGCGATCCTTTTTGGGAACCTCGTGCTGAGGGAGAGTCTGCGGTTGATCGAGGATGTGGTTAAGGCGGCAGAAGGTAGCGAATAATGGAGTCGCCGTGTGCCCCACACGGGGGCAATTTTAATTTCTTTTCGTAAAATGAACTACTCTCCCTCAAACAAAAGGGAAAGAAACAGGGTTCACTTGACAGGAACGATGTGTTCTGTTAGTTTTGGGAAGCGATATCCTTTTCACTTTTCGATGGCTTTATTATTGTCATGAAGGAAAGAGAGCACTCCTCATTGTCCTAAAGAAAAGAAACCCTCTTTTCCTGTTCACGCAAACCGTGATTTCCCTTTCTATAGTTCCAATTTTCCATTTCGATAGATTTTCCCCCGCTTCTCTCCCCTTCCGAAAAAAAATCCACACTGGAGATGAAGAGCATCGCCGTTGTCGGCGCGAACCCCGCGCTGCAGAAGATCCTGCGCTTTGAAACCCTCACGATCGACGAGGTGAATCGCGCCACCGCGATGCAGCTCACGACGGGCGGGAAGGGCACGAATTTCTGCCGCGCGAGCCGCCACCACGGGCGGGCGGCCGCCGTGCTTTTCACCTTCCTCGGTGGCAGCAACGGCACGCGGGTGGGGCAGCTCCTCGAGGAGGAAGGCCTCCCGTTTCGCGCGGTGAGGGTCTCCGCGGAGACGCGGGAGTGCACCACCTGCCTCCTCGCGCGTTCCGACGCGATGACGGAGCTGATCGGCCCCTCCCACCCCATCCCGCCCGCCGCCGCCGCCGAGATGCTCGCCGGGATCACCGCCGCCCTAGAACCCGCGGGCGGGATCGACGGCCTCGCGATTATGGGCAGCCTGCCGGATGGAACGGATCCGGATCTCTACACCGAATGGACCCGCGCCGCCCTGGCGGCCGGCCGGCCCGTTCTCCTCGACGCCGTGAAAGGCGTGGAGCCCGCGTTGCGACTCCCCGGATCCCGCCACGCGATCTTGAAGGTGAATATGGAGGAATTTCGCAAACTCACCGCACCGGCCGCCGACCTCGCCGGTGCGTTTCACCACGCGATGCGGGAGTGGACGGTGGAGGTGGTGGCGGTGACCAACGGGCCGGGGTTGGCGTATCTGCAGGTGCGTGGCGAGCCTCTCCGGGTGTTTAGAGTCCCGAAGTTGACGAACGTGGTGAACCCCATCGGTTCCGGGGATACTGCCGCCGCGGTGTTCTTCGCCGAATACCTTAACGGCGTCGGGGTGGTGGAGGCCTTCCGACGCGGCCTTGTGGCAGCCTCGGCGAATTGCCTGCAAATCGACGCGGGGGTTTTTGATCAGGCAGATTACGATCGGTTGTTTGACAGCGTAACGGTGGCGGAGGCCTCTGAACCATTGCAAGCATAAGGCTCCGCTCCAAAACGGATAAACAGGTGTCATCCCGCAAGCTTACCGACGACAAACGGGGTGCGAAAGGACAAGAAGAAGCAAGGAAAAAGGCCTTCATCTCGCGAATTAAACGACAGACATAATTTCAATTGAGGTGTGCCAAACGGAAAAAATAGGAAGGAAAAATATTTTGACTCATCCGCTGTGAGCCTACTCGAATGGGTTGGTTTAGCGCAGTTGGATAGCTAATGCAAAAGATAAAGGAAAAATGCACACTTAGTACCCATTTTGTTAGTTTATTTATATATATATACATATGTTGTTTGTGCGGACATAAAGAAAACGGATAGCTTCTCTATGGGAATCTCGCGATTCGCCGCTGTCGCTTGTGGGGGTGAAGAGCCTCTATTGGTTGTTTCGCCATATTTTCCAGATGCGCAGTTGCTACGCTTCCTCTTGGTTATCTTTTTTAAGGTACACCTTAATATAGGTGGCGAAAAGGAATAGCAGAGCCGCGTATATAAGTGTGTGTGTAAGATGGGGTTTCGTCCGCTGATGCATTGAGGGCGTTCGCTCTTAAAATGATTTTACCCGTTCCT